TTATTGTTATAAAAAATGCTTGAAAAGTTTTTGACTTACATACCCTAATCTACATAAGTATAGATTTTGACTTATATACTTAATATATATTATTTTTTACCTATATACCTCGCAGATTTTGACTAATTGACCCACTTATAAACTCCTTTGCTAGAAAATAATCTTAATATGATTGCAGTTAGAAATGAATAGTTAAATTGAGATATTGAATATTAATGAAAATTAAACTCGATCACTTTTTAACTTTTTTGGCATAAGTATCACCACTATAAAATGCATTTAATCATAGAAGAAGTTGGAAAATAATAATAAAAGAAAGCAAGTAATAAAGTTGATAAAAATGTAGATATTATTAAATGGTTTTTACCTTTTAATACCTGATGCAATTTGAAAATGCTTTTTTTTTTTTTTTGCATAAATAGCTCAAAACGTAAAAAGTGCAAGGAAAGTTATTTCGTTATTAACATTAATCTAAGGAATTAAAAATAATCCACGCACACTAGAATGCATTATTAAGTTTAAGATCTAATTTTATGTTTGTAACGAAGCAGTTAGGATGTAGTTGTTATTATAATATTATTCAAAGCTACCAACTTTTTTTTTTTTTGAAAATTTTGCTAGATGTTTTAATGTATAATTCTTCGATCCATAAATTTGATTTAAACCTACTTTCAACGCCACTACTCGTAAATGATTCAAAAGTAGAAAAACCACTTTGTTGCATCTCTCTCGTGTCAGAGGTAGCAAAATTACTAAAAACTCTGAAAGGTTTAGTTTTGAATTGTCTAGCATTCTGTAAAAGAAATTTGCAAAAAGCGTAGTGGTTTGCATTGCCGTTATTCCACATAGGTAACATAAAAGCAGATTATCTTGAAAATTTAATTACGAACACATTGTAAATTTGAAAGTTTGAAAATAAAGCAATAACAGGACTCTCCAACAAAAATTATTAAACATCATCAAACGTAAAATATGTTCTAAATTATTATGTAAGCTGCATAAGCATAATTACAGCAATATTTCTTCCCACAATCATTTCGCTTTTAATTTTTCATGTCTGCCAAATTTATAATCAATATAACTCTTTCTTGCCAACGCAAGTAAATAATTTTCATTGGTTTAATTATCGCATACTAAAATCGGCGTTTCATTGGATATAGAATGTTATATAAGTACAAGATCAAAATATTAAATAACGTAAGGGCCTCTCGTGCATTTTGAGATAACACTTCTTGCTATTTTAGATCCAAAGGATATCGATATCGAATGCACTAAATAGGTGCTTATCACGCATGCCTCATTGGGACCCACAAATATGCTTAATCTCTCTATGTTTAATAAATGTGTTTTGCTGTCTCATCTCCCGTATATATATATAGATNTGACTTATATACTTAATATATATTATTTTTTACCTATATACCTCGCAGATTTTGACTAATTGACTCCTTTGCTAGAAAATAATTAGAAATGAATAGTTAAATTGAGATATTAAATATTAATGAAAATTAAATTCGATCACTTTTTAACTTTTTTGGCATAAGTATCACCACTATAAAATGCATTTAATCACAGAAGGAAAATAATACTAAAAGAAAGCAAGTAATAAAGTTAATAAAAATGTAGTTATTATTAAATGGATTTTACCTTTTAATGCAATTTAAATTATCTCACATAAATAGCTCAAAACGTAAATAGTGCAAGGAAAGTTATTTCGTTAATAACATTAATCTAGAAATTAAAAATGATACATGAGCACTAGAATACATTATTAAGTTTAAGATCTAATTTTATGTTTGTAATGAAGCAGTTAGGATGTTGTTGTTATTATATTATTCAAAGAATAACAAACGGTCATAACATAAACATAAGCTTTATTTATGTTGTGATATCAGTTTTCTTAAATTTATTTAAGACTTTTCTTAAATTTATTATTTATAAATTTCAGAAAAGTCTTGTGAATGGTAACGTTACGCTTAAATTTAAATACAAATCGCAACAATAAAACTTCTTAGAACACTGTTTACACATCGTCTCGTAAACGCAATTGAGCGGAGGGATACACCGGAAATATTCTATATTTCCTTCGGTTTTAGCCAGCTTGTTATTGTTTACATTCTGTCAACCATCCATTAAGGAAATGACTAAACTTTGATATTATATGCATGCAGTATTCCATTTTAAAATATATCTATTAATTGAGGGTTCTCTGGCATGCTCGCTTCGCCTACCGAACCCCACGATTACTTCTTAATTATTTTGGTTTATTGACGTTAAACAGATTATTACATTAAAATTAAATATTAACCAATTGAAACTCCCAAAAAAATATTTATTGTATCAATTCTCATTTCGTCCCACATTCTTTTACCGATTCTTTTAGGACAAAAGTTAGACTTAAAAATTTTTTCTTAATTTCATCTAAAAATTTGTTTTAAATTATAATTTCTGTACCACATCAAATTCTGTACAGGAATCTAGTAATAAATTAACACATGGTAGATTAGATCAGAGCATACAACTTTAGTTTTGAAGGTCCTGGCCAGATTCAAATTTTTTATCGCCACTACTTTGCACGAAAAATATGAAAAAAATATTTAAAATGCTAGCAGATGTTGTATACAAAGAACTTTTTGCTGACTTATGTAGGAACTGAAAAATGAAAACACATTTGTTGCAAAGTAATAAAAATATTAACCAAAAATAAGGTTTCTGTAAATGGTGACTGGTGCACGTTAAATCTGTTGGATAACAAAATCCTCCATGTTTCCACAACGAATTATACCTCTTGGGGTACTGAAATAGATTGGCTGTACTCTGGTTCAGGTTAAAATTATGATCTGTGGAGGAATGAATAGGCCCGGCCTTTAAACGGGTGTGACGTAAAGGTGTCGCGGAAGTGGAATTCTTGGCCATAGATGGCGCCACTAGAAAAAATAACAATCGCATCCCTTGCCTTAATGGCTTTCGACAAGGTTCCTGCAGTGTTTGTTGCATTGATTAATAGATCTACTCAGCAGACAGTGTAATAGGAATAAAAGGAACAACGATTTGACCGAAAAGTTAAATATTCGGCCAACAAAATCGGCAGAATAGGGTTTTTTTTTTTTAAATAATTAATAAAAAAATTTTTTGTTTATATAAACAAGTTTTGTTATTATTGAAAAATAATCAAAACTTACCCATATTATTGGTATGCGGTAAAGGGAAAAAAACTTTATTAAAAATGTTTAAGATAATAAAAAAACTGACTTACAGCTATTAAAAAAAAAAGTTTTAAGGTTTAATAATTTCCTCTTAATTTTTGAAACAAAACTTTAATTCTAAAAATAATATTTTCCAGAAAAATAATTATCCATAAAACATCAAAAAAGATACTGCCTGTCAGAAAATCTTTTAAAAATGCAGTGCTAACATACAAACACCAATAAAGAAAACAAAGATTATATATAAAAGCAAAACAGAAAATTTAAAAACAGTTCGTAGTTTTTGAAAGAACACTTTAAAGCTAAGCATTTCAGTTTTCCAATTACCTTATTTTCAAGAAAAAGAAAAGATTAATGTCGAACATAAATCCTCTTTAACTGCCTCATCTTAATAAAGACGTCAATAAAAGTTTTTTCTAAAAGAAAAAGCTAGATAGAAACCAAACCAAAACAAAAACCGTTCATAATTTTTAAACGAAAGATTTAACACTAAAAATCTCAATTTAACTTTTTCATGTTGTTATATTTTCAGAAACAAAGGACCATACGAGAATAATGTTCATTAAAAAATACAGTGATAATAAAAACGCTGATAAAAAGAAAACTTTAAAAAAAAAGAAAACAGAAAAATATTGTTTTTAGTTCTGAAATATAACTTACACGTTGAGAAAAACTGTTTACCAGTTATTTGTCTTGCCATACAAGAGAAAAGTGACAATAAGAGAATAAAACGATCCGTTAACATGCTTCGCTATAGTTAAAGCAGAAATCAAACTAAAATGAAACAAATAATAAAAAAAAAAGATCACAATTTTTAAAGATAAGTGTTGAAAATACGATGAAATTGATTTGCCCAAATTAAAAAAAAAACAACAAAAATTAGCATTACTAAACTCATGGATCAGTATAAAGTAATCTAGTTTCAAATCTTTTTTACGTGTCTTTCAGAACATAAATTAACAAGTTTTAGAGCTTAACAAATATGTGTTATAACTATTTCGAATAATGCATAGTAAAATTTAAGATTATTCTTCATTAAATCTTTTTTATTTTACAAGAGTCTTTGAGTAGCCAACCCAACTACAAAGCCTCGTAATTTTGAACCTAATCCAGAAAACAAAGGAGCTCCTGGATCAAGCATTGGAGGAAATTCATTCCTAGAAGACTTTTTGATCTGCACTTGCGTTACAAAGAGAGGAAAACCTTGCACAGTTAGCTTGATGGCAAGGGGACTCTAACCTATGATCCACCTACCACTGAGGATATTTTACAACACTAAGGTCGGTACTAGCCAGGAGCGGAATTCTTAGCGACCAGTCATTGCTGGGTTTCGAACCCGGTTCACCTCATTAAAAGGAAAAAGCTCTATCCCCTGGGGCACCATGACTTTTATTAACTCTATTAAAATTTCCCAAAAAAAAACTCTGTCGAAAAATAATTTTCCAAATAATACTTGGCTGAATATCCAAAACAGTTTTCTACAAAAAAGGAATCAATGACAATAAAACCCTAACTTGCAAAATAAACTGGTTACTCTAGTGTTCTGGTTTGCACAAGGACAATATGTCAACAAAAGAACAGGATGATCAGTAAAAGACCAATTAAATTCCTAATATAGCAGAATGGTAAAAAAAAAATTGACAGATTAATATTTATTTTTTAAAAAAAATTATATTTTTTATTAGCATTTTAGACTGCTCTATAGCCAATTACCACTTTTAACCTTAGCTTCTACACTCAAAGCATAAATAATTTAAAACTAATCATTTAAATGAATTCAAGATAAAATAAAAATAGACCATTAAGGAAAATTTTATTACAATAACCAGTAATGTTTTCATGAAATGTACAAATAAAAGAAGTTTATTTATCTGGAAGATTCAGTTTCAATTTTTCATCTTTTTAGATTTACTTTTCTTTATTTTAACAGTAGAATTTTTATTATTTTCTTCTTCTATTTTAACTTCATCGCTTTCTACATTAAATTTAGAATTAGGTTTTCGTTTCTTATTTTTCTTTTCAGGTCTCTGAACTACAGGATCTTCAGTAATTTCTTCTTTTACTTCATCTACAGAACTTTCCTCATTGGAGTCCGACTTAGTTTGACGTTTTTTACTTTTCTTTTCATATTTTCGAACCATTTCTGCGTCATCGCTTTCTACATTAAATTTAGAATTAGGTTTTCGTTTCTTATTTTTCTTTTCAGGTGTCTGAACACCGGGATCTTCAGTAATTTCTTCTTTAAGTTCATCTGCGGAACTTTCCTCATTGGAGTCCGACTTAGTTTGACGTTTTTTACTTTTCTTTTCATATTTTCTAACCATTTCTGCGTCATTATCGACTACTTCATCATCAGATGCAGGTTCTTTTTCTTTCATCTCATCATTTGAACCAGCTGGAAATAAAAGCAAATAAAATAAATGTATTAACACAGCAAAAAAGAAAATGACAATGGAACATTTGGATAATTACTTGGCAACATTTTTACACAGTTAACTCAAAGAAATATTGTCCTAATTCTGCCTATCTTTAAAAAAAAGTTATTTTTTCTTCATGGTATTAATAAACAGTGCATACCCTCAAATAAAAACAGTAGATATCCCATTTTTTTAAATTTTTATCTTCTAGTGGAGTTCACCTTAGGAATAAAATTGGGCAGGGTGCTGCTTCTCAAAAAAGGGCACTTTAAATTTAGAAAAGGAACTCACTTACCACCTTAAAAATATATCAAAATATGTAATATTATGTAATAAATGAGTTTGATCCTCAACAATTTTTAAATTACCCTCTTATACTATTTTATGTGCATATTTCTAAAACAAATTTTCTCTAATAATTAAAATAAAATAAAAATTTGACGTTTATAAAAATAATCTAAGTCCTGCTGATCTCTCTGCATAAATTTTTTTAGAAAAAAGTATAAACTAAAAAAAAAAATGATAAATTGATAAGCAACTGAAAGACTTTTTTTTCAGTAATTTAAACTGAAAATTATAAGAAAATAAACATTTAAATGAGGATTTTTTTTAAAAAATTATTAATTTGAAAGTAAAAAAAAAGTTACTTATAAAAATTTAACAAGTTGAAAATAATCCAAACAAGGTAAATATTTGTAATATTAATCCGAATTAAACCTATAAGCACAGATAATTTTACCAGTGTGTGACTACTTTTTAATCAGGGAATTAATTTTATTCCAAATAGAATATGAATAACAGGTAGTATTTTAAGAGAAGGCAGCTTATTTTTGCAACAAAAGGGGCAAAGAGAGTCCACTTATAGGGATCAAAGGGCAAACGGGGCAGGCCACCCTTCTAAAAATGCCAAAGGAGAACACTGCTTCTAGTACAGTTAGATAATTCGGTTATCCTTCTTAATCAATAATATGTAACTATAAACCTCAGTATCCTATACTAAATGACTTCAGAGTAGAATTGCAAAGGCTGAAAAAATCAAAGGTGCAAATTTTCTGCACTAAATATCATGACATCCGTAATCAAAAACGCAATAACAATGAAATTATATTATATGCAGTTAGTGTTTACAAAATTCAAGTTAACGCAATTTGAAAATGTGCATGCTACTTAATTTTAAATAGCTATATAATATCAATTATGTATGAATTAATTATTGAATTAAAAAAAAGTAACACTTAGATAAAGGTACTAAATTAAAAATTATACAACACACAAATTTGTACATACTTCATTATAAAATGATAAAATTAAATAGAATGCTTGAAATCAATGATCTGGTCTTTGGTTAAATAACAACTAGCCCTGATTGTATTTTTATCATCTGGTATTTGAACCACTAATTTTTTGCTCACAGCATTTCAGATCTGAGTGAAAAGTGAATAGTTTCAGAACAGCTTATTGGAAGGGAGAATGGTGTATTCCTTTTTTTTTTCCAAATTGTTATTAGTTTTTTATTTATTATTTTTAAGAATTGTTTAAGAAGTAGAAAGAAATTATCTCAGATAGTAACAGATAAATAAATTCTCAAAAAAAAATCCTTTTTATTACTCATCCTAGTTTTTTAATCTTGATTATGAAGTTTCAGAATAGTTTGTTGGAAGTTGGGAAGATGCTTCCTTTTTTCTACTAAATTGTTTTTTGTTTTTTATTTATTATTTTTACAATTGTTCAAGGAATAGAAAGGAATGGTGGCAGATAAGTTGCAAATAACAGAGATAATAGAACAGATATCAGATAATAAAAATCCTCAAAAACAATCATTTTTCTTACTGGATCTAGTTCTTTAATCTTGACTATGAAGTTTCAGAATAGCTTGTTGGAAGGAGAAAAGATGTTTTTTTTTTCCTTATCAAATCCTTTTTTTTTAATTCTTTTCTTATCAAATCGTTTTTCTTTTCGTTTCTTTTTTTATTTTTATTATTATTATTATTATTTTTAGAATCGTTTAAGGAATAGAAGGGAATGATTGCAGATAAGTGAGAAAGAACACAGCTAATGGAACACATACATAAATTCCTAAAAACAATCATGTTTATTACTCAACCATAATTTTTAGCCTTGACTATGAAGTTTTTAGAATAGTTTGTTGGAAGGAAAGAAGATGTTTTCTTTTTTTTCTCTATCAAATCATTTTTTGTTTCTTATTTATTATTTTTAGAATTGTTTAAGGAACAAAAAGAAATGATCACAGATAAGTTGCAAAGAACACAGATAAAATAACAGGAATAGAAATTCTCAAAAACAAGAATTTTTATTACTCAACAGTAATTTTTTAATCTTGATTATAATAATAATTCCAGATACGGCTTAAATGGCAATATCTGTCGCCAAATGTTCTACAGATGTTGTTAAAATCATACGCATGGGCGACAAATTTGTCGCATTGAAATATGTTTTGAATAAACAAAATAGTATCAGAAAATAGAATTTTAAATCAAATTCCATGCTAATGTTTTTAAAAAAATTGTACTAATTTTATTGTTCTACTCAAATGAAATAACAGAAAGTGTTTGGTACAAACATTATAAAATTCAAATTTACATTTTATGCTAAGCTTTGCATTCATATACTGATATCAATAAAAAAAAATTTGCTATTTTAGACTTGACTTTTAGACAATTAATTTTTAAGATAATTTTTTAGCTCTCACTTTCTCTGGCTCACTTATTTATTATCAGGTTTCAGCATTTTAGCCTATGTTCTATTTGCTAATATTATTTTACCATATTTACACTTAATTTTAATAAATACTAATATTCAATCATTAAAAACTAATAAACCTAATTAGTTTTAGGATGTTATAGATAGTTATTAATAATTTTTTGTCGGCACAATAACATGAATTATATAATTGTAAAGTTTCATTTTTCCCCTCAAGTTTGTCTACCATATTAAGCTTTTGGACCACTAAATGAATATCTAGGTGGTCCTATTGGACCACTAAATTTTAATTTAAGGCATGAACATTAATTGCAGATTAATAGCAACAGTTGGCACTGCTGGAAAGGTTAGGTTTAACCCTGATGGTTTTTAAGGAAAAAAATTTTGAAAATTTTCAAAAATTGTGAATTTTTTTTATTATTAGTTTTCACTTATGAACCATTTAGTTTACAAACTCCAGGGGCAATTATCTACATTAAAGAAATTTTTCCAATACACATTCAAGACAATATTTTTTTTCTTTTTTTTTTTTAACAACCTTAAGATCTCCCTCTTTTTAAACAATCTGCAATCTAATAAACAATCTGAATAATCTCTTTCAACATGACATAATAAAAAAATTTTATATAACTACACATCTTTTATTTGCATTAACTATTTTATGCTAAGTTTATTTTATATTTGCATATAAATTATTAAGTTAAAAACTATTATTCAGTTTGTTAGCTTCGTTTTATGCAATTACCAAGAAAATGTAAATGTGACACAGAAACTCATAATAATGAACTCAATATTAATTAAATTTTTCATAAGTGATAGCAGATCTTTAGAGCTAAAAAGGTGTAACAAAGGTATATAAATAAATAAAATTTCGGTAATCAATATTTATCACCTTTAATATTTATTTAGTCATGTAATTTGAAAGAAAGAACAAATGCATATTTAAAAAAAAAAAAAAACACTCACTTTCTTCTGATAAAGTCTCAATGTCTTCTTCTTTATATTTATTATTTTTCACAAAAACCCTACCATCTCTGAATACCTTCACATCTGCGTCGTCTAAAGTACTTAATTCTCCAGAAACAGGTTCAGCTCGTGGCCTCTTATTTGTAAAGTTGAACTCATTTGGGTCATCTACAAATATCATACAATAATTTAAGTATAGAATGCAAAATTAGAATCAAATAAAAGAGTACATACAGCGAAATCTGTGTAAGTTGACCACTTGCTTTTTAGTGAATCAGCTTATAAAGGGAAATTCAAATTTTTTTTAACTTGTCACTAAAATTTTATTTTCCTAATGTAATCCCATATATCTTCAGAAATAGGATTGGTTTTCAAAATGACTTAAATTTTATTGAGCAATAATTTGTTACATAAATTTGACATTAAACAGTTTTTCAGATTATTTCTTTCCCTTCAGGGGAAGGTTATTTTTATCCACTTATTATGGTTTAGTATTGCTTTTTATGATCAACTTAAGAACAGAAATTTAAATATTTTTAACTCGACACTAAAAGTTTATTTTGTCTATCTCATTAGAGAACTACATTCGTGCTCGGTTACACTTCTACTGCCACTGACTTACACAGAATAACCATTGACCTTGAGTATCCCATATATTTTAAGAAATGGGATTTATTTCCAGAATAGTTTAAATTTTATTGTACAGCAATTTCTTACACGAATTAAATATTAAACTGTTTTTTTCTTCCTTTTATTGTCTGAGTTCTCGTCAAATACATCTTAGTTGTTTCTTTCCTGTGTGGTGAAAGTTTTTTTTATCTACTTATGAATGGTTTAGATTAGCAATGAATAGCAATCTGATATGAAATAGTAGATTCAGGAAGAAAAATAAAGCTGAACTTTGCATAGTAAAAACTTTTTTCAAAACAGCTTTTCAAAATTACAAAATAAACTATATTAATAAAGATTACAATTGAAAGGAATTATTATATTAAATACAAAATCAATTAAATAAAAAGCAGTACTTTTAAAACATATCCAGTTAACTTTCAATTATTCTGTTAGTTGCTTCAAAACGCCATTGCTTATTCAAACTTCTGCCCTTAATTCGAAATTATTATCAAACTAAAATCATTGAATTCTTAATATCAAACGTACTTAAACTCCGTACGTAGTTAGCCGAAGAAATATCAGGACAACAGTTTTAAAAAAGAATCAGAAATGTACACATACCATACTACTTTTAAAAATCTGTAATATAATTTTGTAGTATAATTCTAAATCTTATGCAAATTTGCAAAGCAAATTTCATATCACTTTTCAATTCAATCAATTTCATAAAGCTAAGTAAGAAAAGGTATATCATATTTCCTAACTAAAACTACAATTTATTTTCTATTAACTTTTATGAATAAGTGAAGTACAATTATTAATTTATCTCTTCCCCCTTAAAAAATAATAAACAAAAATTAACAAAACAAACTTATTATGAGTTTTAATAATAAAGTTATTCCACCTATTCACACAAAATGGTTAATTAAAATCTGACTGTCACAAAAATGGTTAATTAAAATCTTATAAGAAAAAACAATGTTAATGCCTTTAATTGATGGCATAGAAATTCTTAGCACCTACAACTAATGCAAAAATGATGATAATTATTGCATTTATTATGATATTATTAAATCCAAATAATTTCTTATTAGTAATTAATGCCACGGTGCACAACAGATAACAATTCTTTAACGGTCCCTTCCTTTGCCATTTTGGATTTTTAGTTATATTTTTGATTTTCCTACTTTCTGTTTTTTTTTAGTTATTATTATTATTTATATTATTTTTGTACTAAACTAAGTTTGATGATTTATTACCATTTGATGTACTATTCCTTTAAGAAAAAAAATAAAAATACATTAAATTAGGAGAGATAGTAATGTAAAAATGTGAATGTAAAACAATAAAATTATGTTGCTAGTGGTTATGAGTAAGTTATTCATTACTATGTCTGTTTTACAAAATCGTTAGATTTCTTTTTCCATTATTGTTTAAACTAGTAGGAACAACTTCAGATGATGCTGAAAATTTTTTCCAATGTAAATTACACAAGAACAAAGATATTAACGGAAAACCTGAGAACAGATAAAAGTATAATACTAAACTATCCTCTAAAACAATATTTACAGAATTGCATTAGTATTTTGTCAGAAAAATGAATAGTGCATCTAGAAAACTATATGCTATATCTGATTGGATGATGGCCTGGTATTTTATATACTTTGAATCATACTGTCAAACAAAGCAAATATCAAACACCAGTTATGAAATTAAATTAAAAAGATTAAAAGACCAATTTAAAACTTCCCCTTTAGCATCGCTCCTTGATAATTGATTTTAGAAATCTCTTAAAAGTAGATAACAACAATGCTTATTGCATTAGAAATGAATGCCAATATAACATCTATGTTGTATCTAATATTATATAAGATAAAATTTTACGCTTACCATTAGACATGAAGAGAGGAATGGCTTTTGATTTTGGTGTTTTCACATAAATGCCTAAAACATTATCCCACTGACCAGGCAACTGTTCTTTCAGAGCTTCAATGGATGACATAATATTCAATAAAATGTCATCTTCCTTCATTGAAAGATCAGCCACTTCAGAAGCACTTCAAAGAAAGAAGAAAAAAAATTTAATGAAAGAGACAATGGGAGGAAAATTAACATTTATCAAACAGTAAAAAACATTTTACATTTTAATGTCAATGTAAAAATATGAACTTAAAATTAAAAAGCATTTGAATCGAGAGACTGAAATTTTAAATATTTGCTTTCCACGTGTTTTTACATAAAAACACTGGAATTCTTAAAATTATTTATACAGTAGAGTGCCGATTATCCGAACTGCTCGGGACCGAACATGGTTTGGATAATGAAAAGTTTGGAAAATTGGAAAGTTGTTTAAAATCTAGTTTAAACGATTATTATTTATGCACTAACTTCCCTTCATACTTTTTCTAGGCTTAGGACTGGTAGTACTATCTAAAATAGCTCTGGCGTGTTCAAAAAAAAATTTTTTTTCAATTTTTTAATATTTTTTCATTTATTTTTCTTCATTTTGAATTATTTTCATTATATTTCAGCTTTTCTTATTTATTTTTTTTTTTTATCAATTGCTGATTTTACCACATTTTTCTTTATGTTCCATTGCAAAAGAAATCCAGCAAAGACTTTTGTTTCAAAGAAGATGCTCTTTTTTGAAGCAAAAACTTTTGTTTCAAAGAAGATGCTCTTTTTTGAGCAGCCATGTCCCTTATTCTTTTTAAATAAATCAACTGAACTGGATCAACACCATTTTGACGTTTTAACATATTCATTGCAATATCTAATGAATTGCGTGCTTCTATATGAGAAGATCCACTATCTTGAATTTGATCACCTACTTCTTCCTCTTCGTTTGTGGAGTTCCGATTTTCATTCAAAATTTCTTCAACAACTTCATCATCATTTAAAATTTGAAATCCTGGGTCGTTTTCAGTGTCTCGACACCAGTGTTCTATTTCTTCTGCTGTGTAACCTGGCATCTTTTCATCGGGAAGATCTACTAATGCTAAAACTTCAGCTTCGTTTATTTTTTTGTTAAGACTTTTATTCCAAGATTTCAGACCCCAAGCACTGTAATCACTAATCATTAACCATAAGTGACAAGTACCCATCCCCCAATAGTAGAACTTCAACACATATCTATTCATACTCTTAACTAATTTCAACCATTGTAGACTGTCAAATCGAAGCTCGCATTCTTGGAAGATAATTTTCAGTTGAAGAGGGCTAAAGGGGTAAGTAGGTTTAACTGTATACATGTATGTATTGGCTACTATAACAAAACTGCAAAAAAAAGGTTGTAAATTAAATATGGTCTTCAGATGTAGTGGATATTCTTCATCCTTCTAAATTTAGAAAAATTGTCGATAAGTTAAAAAGTATTCTAAACTTTAAAAATAAAAGAGAGAGAATTTGGACATGGTTCGGATAATAAGGGTTCGGATAATCGGCGCTCTACTGTATATTATAATCATGAACAATTTGTAAGAAAATTAATTAAAATTCCNTCTAAACTTTAAAAAAAAAGAGAGAGAGAATTTGGACATGGTTCGGATAATAAGGGTTCGGATAATCGGCGCTCTACTGTGTATTATAATCATGAACAATTTGTAAGAAAATTAATTAAAACTCCATTAACTTTACCACAGTCTATCAAATGTAATTGATTAAAATAAGAACAAAGTACAAAATACTTATATCAAACAATGTATGTATGAGATATTTGCCTGTATGTCTCTCTCACTTTGGCAGAATTTTTTAGGGCATTCTGCAATATACCTCTCTAATATTGATATCTTTCTGCAAGATACTTATAAAAATAACAAATATACATGTTAATTATTTAAAGTAACAGAAGCGTCAAAAAAAGTTTCGGATCAAATAAAAAAAAATTTTAAAATTGAATATGTAACATATTTTTTACTGTAATATTAAGGGTGATATTCTAGGGGGATAATGCACGCTTTCCTTTTTCAGATTAAGTATTTCATCATCACATTTAAAAAATTAAAAAAAAACTGCGAAATCCGTAGCAATAGTAACTACCGAAAAAAAGATTGGCGACAAAATCACGCAAATTGGACTCTTTAAAAAGGTGTTACTAAACTGTGTGTTTCCATTTCAGAATTCAGTTGTTGTGATAAATAATATTGTTCTAAAAATATTGCATTTAAAATATCAGATTTTAAAAGCTATGTGGAAATTAATAGTAATAACAGCATAAAAAAAATAGAACGAAAATTTCTACAGAAAAGGAAACGAAATTTTTTACTTCATCATACTTTATTTTTCATTATTCTCAAATGAAAATAGAAAACCCCCAAGCATTTTTTTCCACTCGCCTGAGCAAGATATGCATCTTTGAATATAATTCTGAAAAAAAGATCAAATCTTTGGAAAATTTCCACAGAAAAGAAAAGTAAAATTTTTAATTTCCCGAAGGAAAAATCTATCGGCAAGAGCTCTGTAATGCTCTGCTACAATACAACTGTGTCATCACAATTCTGCCATGGGTGTCTCTCTTACAACCTTAGAACTGTTATTGTTGGAGTCTTGAAATTTGGACTTCATTGTAAATAATACAGTTACACAGGTGACTGTTTTAATAGGTTTTTCAAGTTGATTTTTAATCAAAAAATCGAAAAAGAATGCTTGGTACCATCCATACGTAACCATCCAGTCTATAAAAAAGAGGAATAATGAGACTAGTAGTTTGTAAAACTCATCATGAGAGGTGGATGAGGAATGCTAAAGCAGCAACCTGTACATTTTAACTTTTCTTAGGCTTCTGTTATGGTAGTCACGAAAAAATCATGTAAATTTACCATGGTATCACGTAAATTGGACTCTTCAAAAAGAGGTTACTCAAATTCTCTCATGTAAAATATTGTATTCTCTTGAGATTGATATTCTCTTTTTGTAAATTTATATTGTGATTAAAATACTGAATGTTAAAAACCATGCAAAAATGATTAGCCAAAACTTCTAAAGAATCGATAGAAAAACTGATAGCATCGATGCGTCGAAAAATATATACTCTAAAGCGCAATTGAAATTTCCCATATTGTATGAAATATATAGGAATCTTCAAAAATAAAGTTAAAATCAAGAGCACAACTGCCAAAGAACAATCCAAACACCACAAAGATTTATAGAACTATGAGCATAAATTGAAGACATCAAAAAGTGATTATTTAAATCCAGCAACATAATTTGAATTTTGCATGTCAGAGTAATATCAATAGAAGAGGGAGAAAAAAAAAACAGAAAAACTACCTGGAAATCTATAGAATAAAAACTATATAACTACAAAAACTACCTGGAAATCAATAGCACTATAGCAAATAGCAAAAATAGAAAGATGGGGAAAAAGCGATAGAATTATATCAAAAGTGAATTTGAATCAAATGTGTGATTTAAATTGTATATTGTAATGAAATAGTGAGAAATATTATTGGGATAAAAGAAAGAAACATGTGAAAATTTGCATCAATAACAGACCAAAAATTTTTTGAAATATTGCATCTATTCACAAAGATATGGGCGGAAATGGAGTATATCAAAAAGTGAACATTTAAATGAATGATTCCAAATTCATGTGTCATAATAATATCAGTATTTTAAAAACCAATTGAAAATTTTTAGAACTTCTTCCTCACGAGCAACTCTTTCAGCTCCGATACGCAAGAAAGGCAATCTTTTGAAGACAATTCTACACTAAAAAAAAGACATACTTCCAAAAAATATGCAGAAAAGAAAATCGAATGGTTTGTTATCTAAATGAAAAATCTTTCTGTATAACTCTGTTGCACTCCTTTAAAATATAACTGTGATTATGCCGCTGGGATCCAGCCTACGTTTTTGCCACATTAGACCAAAAGATCAGGAGCTTACTGTTTTTCAAATCTGACTTTAAATAAAAGTAAAGAAGATCTAATTTAGCTAATTAAATTATCAGGTAATAATGAGATCTAATTTATTAAAATCATAAGAGATTAATTTCATGTTTTTTTAATCNTATAACTAGCAGAGGAATTTCCCTTGCATGTGATATGAAAAACAGTTGAAGAAAGAGCATTCTCAATTTGCTCTTTAAGGTTTGGTGTTTGCATGTTAATCTGAATAGGAAACCTGAAAGATAAAAGCCAATTTAAAAATCAAAAACTGAGATATCATTATACTAGTATTGAAACAATAATATACAATATATAGAATTGAAAGCAAAAAAATCCATGCAGCATCAATGAAATAGAAACATTCATACTAATGCTTCAGGTTAATATATACAAACAAGGATCATTTTAAATACATTACATCTGCCAACCTCAGGAAATTCAAATGCCTGAGACTTAAATACTATGTTATAAGAGTTATAATAATAAATATTAAAAGACAACAAAATCACACGTATTTTAAATAAAAATTACATAAGTAACTTTTTTACCCCTAAAAATTACACAATAATCAATTAATCAAAATTTTTTTAAGACAAATTGTGCAAATGATTACATTTTTTAAAAACATTACTTAAATTCTCTGGCTCCTTTTGGTTTGTTTTCTAATCAAAAAAATTTTCAAAATTTGATATGAGAAAAAAAAATCCAAGTTTGGATTCTTGTTATGTCACTAAATATTCTCTCACAGGTCACATTTTTATGAAAAATAGTTAATACAGTCATTTATAAGTTTCTCTGTGACTGATTTCATACCATTTTCCCCTATCAAACGAATGAAAAACAAATGTTTGAAATGTCTTAGTATTATAAAGCTCATAACAGGGGTAATTCTAACACAAAATGAAAAACCCTGAAATTCTTATCTGTAAAAAATTGATAAAGATAATTTAATTATCATACATGTTTCATATTTAACATAATTTTTTGAACATAATTTTCGTATTGAACATTTATAATTAAATTATCTACTAATAAAAAATATCACACCTTTATATAAACTTATTCAAGAAAATATTTATTTTTTTACATGAGTCACGATATTGGATTTTACAATCGTATGAATATGAATTGAGATATTAGACTTCAAAAAAGCAAAAATGCAAATTGTGGTATTGAATTTTTAGATATTGCAGACACTAATAACGATGCATAATTTTCAGATTGCGTGAATACAAATCACAGTGCATGGTTTTTAAATCATGTACAAATACGAAAATCGATGTTTAATATTATAACCGAGTGAATAAGAATCACAATATTGAATATTAAAAAAGCATGAATACAAATAGCAACATTGGATTTTAAACTCACGTGAATATGAGTCACAACATTGGGTTTCAAAAACATGAAAATACAAATTGTGCTATTAGATTTTTGAATCTCATGAATGTTTAATTTTTAAATTGAGTGAATACAAGTCGCAATGCATTATTCTCTTAATCGGGTAAATACAAAAATTGATGTTTAATATTAAAATCATGATATTAGCAAATTACGAAGCAGTTCGAAAATCGGACAAATCAAAATAATCAAATTGGAGGAAGAATCATGTGCATGTAAACGTTTCTTTAACAGGATGTAACAAAAGTTTCAAAAATTTGTTGTATTATGAGATTTTGATTCGCGGAAGTTTGTAACCAAATGGTCTTGAAATACGATGCAACACTCGCTATTTTTGTGAACAAAACACATGCCCTGATTTTAGTTTCTAGACACGAAAGAATAAAGTTGAGAAGAAGAAAAATGGAAAAATAATTTAGATAAGACTCAGAATTACAGGGCACAGCAAGAATACAATACCCCTGTCATAATTAGAGCTTCTGGAATATCAAGAATTGAGCTTTGATATCTTTTCTTAAACCTTTTACAAACACACAAAAAAAAACTATCAACAAAAACTTTGTGGGAAAAATAGATATGCCTGAAATATTTCTCAAAATAACCACTTTAACATGAAGTTATCATATCCCTTTTTAATGTAATACTTTACACATGCTTGAAATAGTGTTATACTTTATCTTTGGTTTATCAAACATTTTAAAAAAGATTCCAGAGGGGGAAAAAAGTACTTTAAATAAAAAGGTTCTTAAAAAGAATTTAAAGATGAAAAAGATATTTTTGGTAAATCAAACATTTCAAAAAAGATTCTAGGAAAAAAAAAGTACTTTGAAAAGAAAGGTTCTAAAAAAGAATATAAAGAAAAATTAAGTACACTTGAAATAAAAAATTTTTGATATAAGAGAAAAATTTTAGGGCTATATGCAAATTAGCACAAGACTTCCAATTGATACATTTTAAAAAAGGAGAAAGCCTGAGAAAAGGAGAAAGCCTGGTGGCATAAGACCCTGAGATCGGAGCTTTTGTGTAAAAAGATAGTCAATTGCCAGACAAAGATGTAAAAATTAATAAATAAAATGTTTGGGAATATTTTTCTTTTTATTAATAAAAAAACAAATCTTTAAGTATAAGTCATTATAAATAATGCAAAGGTCAGAGAAATGAATTGGAGAAGTTACTGATTTAAACCAATTTAGGAAATATAATTGACTTTTGAATCAGTTGAATAAAATTGCATCCATTCAGCTTCAAAAAATTACTTAACATTAAGGTATTTAATCAAATTTATGTTATATGTAAATTGAAAACATGTCAGAAAAATCTAGTAGCAAAAATTATCTTAGATTCATTAAGAATTTAAAAAATCTGATCACTTTCTTCAAAGAAAAAATAACTGAAAAAACTGGGTACAGGAAGAAAACAATAAAGAAAAATTAGGTAAATAGTTTTAATTTTAATGGCATTTTAAAAAAAATTTCAAAATATAACTAGCAGAACATATTTTTATATATTACTATACAAAAAAATAAATAAAAATTATATAAACTAATTCTTGATACTAATGAAATTGATACTAATTCTTTCTATAAAAATTCTTTATATTTTTACAAACATGTAATATAAGTAGTTATTTGATACTTTTTGGTTATTAAAAATAATACTAGTATCCGTTTAATTTTTGAAAAAAAATTTAAAATAAATGAAAAAAAAACTTGATAAAAATTTAATTAAAATCTAACGATTTGATTCTATTGCTCCATTTAATAAATTTAAGGATGTGTATCAGATCATTAACAAAAGACAGACATGACTTAAATCAGTTAATAACAAATTTCAAAGAAAAAATGAATTAAAATTAAAAAGCCTGAAATAAAATAAAAAAAGATAAATGAACAAACAAAAATTTATATTTTAATAAAAGAAAAAAATATTTTTAGAACTATTACAATTACAAAAAATTTATTATATCTAATATCTTACTTTCGTTTTTTGAAGAAAGATTTGCCAAGTGTTGAAGGTAGAACACCAGCGATTTTTTTGTCACACAAGAAGACATCATAAGCCCCACAAAGCTGACGTCTTGCTTCATAAGGTTTATACTCCTTCCTCAGTTGCCTTAATGTTATTACCTTAAATATGATAATTGAAATTTAATTCCATCTACTTGTAAGAAATGAATAATTAAAGAACATCAATGAAAATCAAACGTGTTCTATGTACTGAATTAAAAATATGCAGGGAAATAGAAGATTACAAATTATTAACTTTATCTGGTTAACACTAACATTTTAAAGAAACAAGATAGACCGGTTATGTGTCAGGTCTATTCATAAAGTTTTCTTCATTTAGAAAGAAAAAAAAACAACAAAAAACATGAAGTTGTCTATAAAATCAATAGCGCAAAATACTTATTTGAGACATCCTGTATTTCTACAAGAATTCTAGTATTTTGTTATTTAAAATCAAATCTAGCTAATTAATTCTCATATATCTTGGTGAATATGAACTTGAATAAAATAAATATAAACTGTAAGCGGCAGTTTTATTTATTTATTTTTTTTTTTTGGCTTTTTTTTTTAATTTTTTTTCATTTAAACAATTGAAAAATTCTCATGCACCACCAAGTATAGCATGAGGCTTACAGAAGTAAGTAGAAAACAAAATCAAGAAAATTTACAAATTTACATTAAAAACAAAATTGCGCAAGGCAGCAAGACTTTCGATACTTTTAACCAGTTCTGAAAAAACAGGAGGCCAACAAATAGAAAGACGCCTCAAATCAGTCTTCTTTTGATCTTCTTCAAATCAGTCAATCTTTTTGGCTATTGAATCCTAAATTATTGGCCTCGTTTTAGTAAATCCCGAAGTTCATTATCAATATTGAACATATTAATTAAAGAACTAATTATTTTGAAAATATTCAATGTGAAGAATAAAATTTACTCAGCAATATTTTTTTAAAGATTTGATGCTAAAAAGAAACAAAAAAAACTTAACCTTTTGGTATTATATTAAATTTCATGTAGTTTAAATTTAAGATTTTCTTTTAATACTTATAGCTAAGCAATTGTATTCTATTTTATTACCGTCTTTGAACAGCAAACCCAATATTGGGTTTACAACTGCCAATACTCAAATCCATAGCCTTACATATTTAAACCTAATCCAGAAGACAAGAGAACTCCTGGATCAAGCATTGGAAGAAATTTACCTTCATTGAGGACCTCTTGATGGAACCAACCTGCATTTGAGTTACACGGAACGAAAAACCACCCAAGGTTAGCCTGACTGCAAAGAGATTTTAACCTATGTTATAACTCGTCTATCACTGAGGATATTTTACACTAGCACTGCGATTGGTGGGAGCCAGGTGTGGAATTTTAATCGACCAGCCATTGCTGGGATTCGAACCCGGGTTAACCTAATGCCAAAAACCAAATTCTTTATAAGATATTATAAGAAAGATTCAACAATACCTCATTGATTTGAGATATATGTTGACTTTTCAAAAGTTCTTTGAAGTGTAGCACATCAGGTTCTACTTCTGCCTTTGTATTACGCTTATCAAGGTCACCAGTGATTAAACAAACCTCTTTTGTTTCATTTAGTGTGGATTTTGGCAAATGACTGAAACAAAAAGTTCTCAAATTAGATAAAACTTCATTGCACAAAAAATACAAAAAAATTAAGGAAACACATTTTGTAAATTTTTAGAAATGAAAGACAATATCTATCAGTACACAAATCTTCTTAAACGTAAAATCGTGCAAAGCTTGAATCAATTTCTATCAAAAACAATATTTTTCAGACAGTTTAAAAATCAAAAATACATCATTAACAGAGATGTATAATTAAATTCAACAGTTTAAGAGAGTTATAGATTAGAAAAAAGTTTTACAACTTTGTACTTTTATGAAACTACACTAAAAACAATTAGTGTTTAAAACTTAAAATTACCTAAACATAAATAAGATTACAAAAAATAACCAGAGAACCATAAATTAAAACTAGCAAATCCAGAGATAGAACTTAAATACAAGTGATGATGTCATCTGAGTTATATGAACAGTCAGAGAGAGTGACTATAAAATATAGCTCTGATACTGTGAAACATATCCACTTTCCTCAAAGTTTATAATATTTCTCGATTATATTACAAATGTTTATGACACAGATTAATCATCTTTTTCTAAAAAAAAATTTCTTTTAAATTATTTACAAAATAACAATCACACTGACGAAATAAGTAATAAACAAAACTAATTTCTATATGTTTAAAAATTTTGAAGAATTCCCTTCAACTTAATTTTAGCATGTATAGAGCGATTAAATTATTTTACTTAACAATAATTTTGATTACATACCTCAATACATACCTTTTAAATATATATCTTATGGATAAAACTTAAACAAAATATTCAGAACAATCTTAAAAAATATAAAATACTTACACTTTGATAAACTTTTGCATATATGGGGGTGGAATTTTTTTCATAGTGAGTTGGAGAATAATTGGATTTTCTGATTCATCATCCAGCAAGGATTTTTTCTCCTTATTTTCATAGAACTTCTGATTTAGTTGCTTTAAAATGGATATAGCTTGGAAAATCTAACAAAAGTAATAATTTCAATTAAAAAGATATTAAAAGAAAAGATTTTTTAAAAAAAAGAGATATAAATAGATAAAGCAACCAAAATCAGATAACCGCATAATTTCTAACTAATTTCAGAAGAAAAAAAATTGGGGATCAGGCAGAGAAGAAATAAAATGCTAATCTTATGTTCCAGCACTAATTACTGTTAATTTTACTTTAAACAATAAGTTATTTTATATCCTTAATGTATCTAAAAGTATGAATCAGAATCAAATAATACTCGACTAGTTGTCAGCTTGTACAATGTACATTGGCAAAGCAATTTCTAAGTTCTTTTTAACAATAAAATTTCTGATTAATTTAACCAAATAATAATAGTCCGTTGAAGGATTGGTACTTTCTTGCTAGTCAGACTCAAGTAAATTAAACTATTTTTTGCTAAACGCAAAACAAAATGGACATTTCCAAAAAAAATGATTAAAAGAAAAAGAAATAGTTGAATTAATTTGTGACCAACTAACTAAAAAGTATATACAAAGAGATTAAATAATTTTGCAGACAGGTTGGGCAACATATGTTTTCGATTAATCACTTTACTAAATATTTAAGCCTCAGTTGTGTTATTTTCTATTCAATTAATGATTTAAATTAATTAGTAACAAATCATATCCCATATACAAATTTTTTTTTATACATAGGATACCATACAGACAATAAAACATAAAGACAATACTTTTCCTTTCCAGAAATACTTTTCAATATTTAAAGGTAGTAGTTCAATCTTAACTGAATTTTGAAAAAACTTTAAGGTGGAAAAATTACTTGCATCTCAAAACATAAAGTCTGCTCGAAATAGCTTTCTTGGCAATCAATAATATTAGCTTTTTTATTTTTTACATGTAACCACTAGTACCATGCTACCATCTATTAACCCTTTCGAGCCGACTGTCACATATATGTGACAGCAAGAAACGCGCTCACTTCCCGGCCGACACACCCGCGTGTCAGAGAGTTTTCTCGTTCACCCCCGAACGTCACTTATTTGTGCCAGCGTTTCGGAACGTTTTAAAAAATGAAATTTCTTCCAAAAGATGGCATTGTATGTCCATATGGTTTCAGATACATGTAGATTTGACCTTCTACTCAAGATGAAAGTACATTCACGTGGTTTTTAGGGGAAGGAGTGGAGGGGGGGAATGTTTTATGAGGGCTCTTTAAATTAGCACGTGATATTTATTTACAGTAAGTAAGGGAGTTTTTTTTATCTCTCGCTACTTTCGATTTTCGGATTAGTTTTTAGTGGATAATTAGATCTTGTAGGCTTGAATTTTTTTTCTTTTTACCGTTAGAATGTCGAAGCGTCGAAAATTTTTAACTGAGCTGGAAATAGAGGAAATTATGCAAAATATTTAAACTTATTAATATTTATATTACATTTAAACAAGAAATAACTTAAGTAAATAAAGTATCCATAGAAATATATATAAAGCATATGTCACTTAAATACTCTACAGAACAATATTAAACAACGCGCTGATATTTCGGTAATTTCATGGAATTAGGCTTAACATCGAAAAACCCTCCGGCCCTGGGGAGACACACGCTAGAGAGACTGCCGGCCTCAGCGGTAAGCNTTTTTTTTCATTCACTTTTAAAATTCAATAATAATTTGTAACTTTTAATATCTCCACAGAGGAAATTAGTTTATAGGGAATTAGTTTATTCGCATAATCTTTGTTATTTATGACCCAAAGACAAGGATACGTTTGAAAAATTTCAAAAAAAGAAAAGAAAAATACATATATCGCGATATATGATCGCGCTACTGATCACTAGAATTCCATTTAAAACTAGTCATAGTTAGAAGATTAAACCAAGTTTAAATTTAAAAGATAAAAATTCAGGATGCGTCAGAATCAGCACGTGTATTTTGCTTACTAAATGGTTGCTAGTTAAGGTTGAAAGTATTTGGAAACTACTATATGACACGTTTCAACTAATCTGGTTGCTCCACTAAAGTTGAAAGGTTTCAACTTCAGTTGCTAGTTGAAAGCAGGCTGAAAGCAACCGGGCAACCATTATATGACACGTTTCAACTTCACCGTAACCGCTGGTTGCTTTCAACTAGGTTGCCTCGTGTCATATAGCCTTTATCGCTGAGTTTGAGCTTCGGCTGAGTTTGAATACGGAGTACCTGTCCGCGAAGCGGACACTTTACTCCTTCATCTATGATGGTGCCCGTGGACGCCTGGAATAATGACGATAAAGATAAAAAATATCAAGTCCTTCTTGGGATATAGCATGAGTTGTGGAAGTGGAACATCATTCTGTAGGGGATGACCAATAGATAAGAGATTGAAGTAAGCTGACTACTTCTTGGTTTTTCAGGAGCTCCTGCAGTTCCTTCACTATTGAGACAAGTCGATGAGCTGTGTTAGAAGGTGTATCCTTAGGTTGTTGTCTTTTTCTGCTGGGGCGGGCCTCGCACCCTGAGAAATTTGAAATATGGGCCTTGTTGCAGTTGCAGCATGTGGCTGGAGAATCTTTGCTCTTTTTGCACTGGAATGAGTAGTGCCCTTCAGCACATTTCATGCATCTTGGTTCGGATGTGCAGGTTTGCTGTGAATGTCCGAATCGTTGGCATCGGTAACACTGGAACGGCTCCAGGCCACCTCTAAATTTCTCCACACTGATCGGATAGTCTTTAATGAATTCGATTTGGTAGTAAATTCGACTTTAATGAATTCGATGATTTTCATGTAGTTTACTATCTCTGGTAGGATGATGATGAAAAGTGGGAGTGCTCCTCCCACTCTTTTCCTGAACTGAACAATTTTTAGATTTTGTTTCCCTAATTCTAGGGAAAAAGTGTCCGTATTAAAGTCCAAAGGGAGCCCTAAAAGTTCTCATCCGATCGGATGAGAACTTTTAGGTTCTTGGCAGGTTGAGCTTTTTGTACATTAGTTGATGGCTCTGGTCCCTTAACATAGCTATCTTCCGAAGTTTCCATTGGGGGTGGAGGAGTGGAGTTCACCAGTGGAGGTGTGAAATCAGAAGTAGAATTTGTAGGCATTGTTGAGTCCATATCAGTTGATTTCTTATTATTTTTCCTCTTTCTCCTTTTGGTGGGTGGTTCTTTAAGCTTTTCAGTCTGAAGTTCTGACTCAGAGGCCGAAGTCTCTTCACAGTTTTCTAAGTTTTGGACAAATTCTGTATCTTTATTTGCGTCCAATTCCTCAGTCGGTTGAGCTTCGGGTTCAGGAGTGGGAACTGGAGCTTCAATTGTCTTTAATTCCTTTTCCTCCTGTGTCTTTAATCGTAACTGGTACATGATGTTGTAGGCAGTTCCAGATCTTTTTAGGAAGTAATTGTAGTAGGGTCCTCTCTTATCTAGCTTGTTAAGAAAGCTACGAAAGTAGTCTGACACTATAAGCAGTCCATTCATAGGAAACTGTAAGTAGAAGTCATTGATTTCCGTGTCGTCGGCGTTTTTTGAAGGCATATATTGCGGGGGAAACCCGCATGTCGAAAGTAATTCGTCTAGCGAAGTTTGATCAACGCCAGTCAGGACTTGCGTGCGACCGGAAGGGAATACCTTTGCGCCACATGCAGATCTGTGGTACGGCATTAGTCTCTCACAGAAAAAACACGTCTTCACTCGTCAAATGATTGAGTCGCTCTGGTGTGTGGTGAAAAGTTATCACACGTAGATACCTTTGTTCAATTTACGTCCGGCTCCCAGCAGATCACCGAAGGCTTCGGTTAGTGTCTTGGTGGGTGACCACTTGGATTAGTCTGCGTCGGGACCGAGAGTGTGCTGCATCGGTCCTCGTTAAACTGTTCTGCCGTAAAGTGCTTGATTTCGCATGCAGGTCATCGGGATACCGATTCTTTCACATTCATCGAAAGTTTGTGGCTCCTACATATATCACATAAGGGGCAATTACAATGTCTATATCCCATGTAATCATTTATGATGCAAAATCTTATCCTATTTACGATAAATATCCCATTCATATAGTGCGCAAAAGATTCTCTGTTGCTGCGACCACGTGATATCAAGTGGTAGAAAGATTGAATTTGTGCAGAAGTGATTTGAGTTAATCGAAAATTATTAAATTGAAGATTAAAATAGGATAAGACTTTAGAAAATTCGAATTTTCGAAGATAGGACACACAGAACTATAGCAAACGATAACCTTATCCCTTGGCGATGAGTACGGTTCTGGCAAAAGCTGGTCTCCTTCGCATCAAATTGCTGGCAACGAATCCAGAGCCTCTCATCTTAGTAGATATTTGGTCTTGAACTATTTACATATTTGTTCAAAGATAATTTGTAAGGTTGGCAGATTGCGGGTAAATATATTTCGTATGCAAACAGTTTGGAATTGTCATTATGTTGCTGTGCCTATATTCCAGAGCAAACACTGACAATCTTTGAGCAATATTTGGTTTAGAAATAAAAGAAATAATTTTACTTCAGATAAGAAAGTTGTTGTAGTTCATTTACGTCACACTAGAGCAGCACAATGGGCTATTGGCGACGGTCTAGGAAACATCCCTGAGGATGATCCGAAGACGCACCATCGCAATTTTGATCCTCTGACCTCTGCGGAGGGGATGGCGCCCCCACTTCAGTAGCCCGACGACCTGCACACGAAGTCGAGCAATTTACGGTAGCACAGTTTAACGAGGACCAATACCGCACACCCTCGGTCCCTACGCAGACTGATCCAAGTGGTCACCCACCCGCACACTGACCGCAGCCAGTGATGCTTGACTTCGGTGATCTGCTGGGAACCGTGTCTTAACGATCTGCGGGACCACTGCGGGACCCAGGGGCCTCCACCAGGAGGGGAAGGAGGGCGCACGATGCGCCCACTTAAAACTTGGGGAGGGGGATTTTTACACTAAATAAAACGAATAGTTTGGAGGGAATTTAGAATTTTCCCAAGAATGCGCCCAAGAGCTTGGGGGGGGGGCCACTGGCGGGACCGGATAAGAAAGGAAACACTCATAACCACGCAGACACTCACACATACAGTCGCCGCCAAGCCAATCAGAACTAGCGAACTGGATTAACTTTGGGCTGTGTGTGGATTAAACAAACGCCAAAGGATAGGCTTGATGGCAATTGTTGAAATAAAAGAGATAGAGGTACAAATGCTCGCAACTAAGATCGCAAACGAAAAATAAGAACTTTTTACAGCTAAAGTATATCTTCTCAAAAAAGTTCGACTTCTTTCATAAGCTGGAGCAAAGAAAAAGTATATTAAAAAGAGAAAAAAAATGACATCACTGTATGTGGGAAGGGAGATGGTGGCTATTGGCTGGCGTTTGTATGATTTAACAACGAATTTCGTTTTCCCATGTGCTCACGAATGTAAACGTTTACGTAAAACTATGTTGTCGGTAGGGTGGGGTAGACATGTGAATGTTCTCTTCAGTATTTCACACAAAATTAATTTTAATTGATTTAAATTCATCAAAGTTAAAAACAAGAAAAATAAAAATAATTAGCGTTTTTGCAAATGTAAGATGGTATAGCAATATTACAAGTGCGCTTTTTTTATATATTTTTTTTAAAGTTTTTCCTTAAAAATTATCTTTTATGGTTACAAAATAACAAAAATTGAAATAAATATAAGCTCAAATTTACTAAGGCATCGTTATTTAGTTATGTTATAAATAACTTAAAAATTTCATGATAAAACATGCAAATTTAGTTTAAAGTAAAGACCATGGGGACAGTGGCGTATCTAGGGTATGGCAAGTATGGCGAATGCCATAGGCGCATTATTTCAAAAAGGCGCAAAATCAATCAACATCAACGATTATTTTTTTAATTA